TATTAGCCCTACATGATAGCTGGGCTATTGCAGCTAATACTGAGCGAAGTTTTCCCAAAGCTCGTCCGGGGCAAAAAAACCCATCCATTCGAGAAATCCCTCGGGAGCCTGTTGTGGGTCAGGCGCGCTAGCGCATGCCCGAATGCAATTTACAATGGGGTAATCGACTGTCGACGAGCTCTTATATTGCTCAACGAATAGGATGGAGCGTAGATGGAATTTCATCGATGATGATGATGTTGATGATGATGATTTTGCCCGCAATGACACAGAAAATAATCAGCATTTTGTCTAGCCAACACGATGAACGAATTATGCTGGAATAATGACTGGTTATGGGAATAACCACCTTCTCAGCCGTGTCGAGCAGAGCAATCAACGAGAAGTGGACGAGTTGTCCGCGGGAATACATAAGGATGTACTATTTATAAAACTCATGTAGTCATCCATTTTCGTCTTATTCGTTTACAGGTGCTTATCTATGCATGAGATCACTTGCAGCAGCCCATGAGTTGTACACATGACGGCAACATGCACAAAAACAGCCACTATGCTTAGAAATATAGAGCATATCGTAAGGGAATGAAACAAAAGAATTGAACTATTAACAATCTTGCTACAGTACCCTGCGTCCTTTAACGAATGAAGTAATACGAAAATATGCTCAAGCTTGCAAAACGTAATACGGATACATCTATTCCGAAGACATTCAAATAAAGTTTTGTGGTTAACTCGTTCATTTTCACGCAATTTTGCACAACTTGCATAGTAGACGCGTATAGGAAGATCGCATATGTAGACGAGATGTCTCAGTAGGTGCGCTAACACGATTTCTTTTGCGGTAACACGAATAGATCTAATAATTATATAGTGTAAGTGCAGAATAGGCAACAAAACTGAAGAAATCAAAATCAAATTTACAATACAGACCAATATAGGCTACGAGTATTTTGCTCACACTCAATCGTAGCTTTTTTTCAGCTTCGGTGTCAAGTGTGTATTTACACCACGTGAATTAGGTACCACGGAAAGAAATTGTTCAATAAAAAAGTTCCTCAATAGAGCACTAATGAAACAATATTTAACTAAATGGTATAGATTCATTCGAAAACTAAAATGATTTGATGCAATAGGTTGAATATGGCGATGTTCATGGAGGAAGGAAGAGTAACCGTTAAGAGATTTAATTAGTACGTATTCTGCATTGCAGATCATACACATAGAAGGGACGAATGACGGAGGTGAAGGATTTGTGTAATTAAAAAATTTACTT